AGCCAGGCTTGGAGGCCATACTGGCACCGACTGACTGTCGCTTCAGACCTGACATCAGAGCCATGGAGAATGGCCAAATGGGTAATGGCATTGTCTACTTTTGATGCTCTGTTTGGTGTTATTTGACAAAAAAAAAAAATACCTCTGGCTCGGAAACTCTGCTCCGGCTTTCCTGTGGGGCTTTTGCATATTCTTCCTGTTCTCTGCGGGTACTTCGGCTTCCTCCCCCATTTTAAAAATATTCCCGCCAGGTTAATTGAAGATGCTTGAGTGTCCCGAGGTGTGAATGGCTGTTTGTCCAGATGCGACTTGCGAGACTGACTGGCGAGAAGTGCAGGGTGGTCACCGCCACTCGAACTAAATCAGCTGGAATAGGTTCAAGCTCCCCTGTAACCCTCTGGAGGACATGCACAGTGTCTGAGCTTCAGATAATGGAACCCTGTCGCCATCTTCTGTTTGTCTGTGTAACTGCCTCATGTCAACGGTTTCACATTGTGCCTGCGGTGGTTTTGCAGAGGAAGCAAGCCAGGAGAAGGAGAGGCTGGAAGAAAAGCAACGAGCAGCCAGAAAACAGAGAGCCAAGCATGAGGAGGAGTGGTCGACAAGGTTAGTAGAGCTCTCGCTCGCTTTTCACGCTCTCGCTCTTTCTCGATGAGTCACGCCATGTCTAATCATCCGGTAGGTTTAGCCAAGCGAATTTTGATTTTAATGAAATTTGATGTATTTGTTGATAGTAAAGGCAGAACACTAAATCAGTAAGGGTTTAGGACACAGGTGTCAAAGTCAAGGCCCGGGGGCCAGATCCGGCCCCCCACGTCATATTATGTGGCCCGCGGGAGCAAATCCTGTGTGTCAACTATCATGATTCTTGCTGAAATCTGTACTGAAATGTCAAATTGTCATGGGTAATAAATAACGTTGAGATTTTGCACCGGCCCTCCAAGGGAAGCCGTAACTCCGAAGTGGCCCGCGACAAAAAATGAATTCGACACCCCTGGTTTAGGAGTTACGACCCACTCAATTTTAATTTGTTCTGAAAAAAGGGGCGTGGCCATCTTCATTTGAATCCTTACATCGCAGATACTGGGCCAATCTTCATAAAGCAGGTGTTGTTGGAAAGGGAATTCAAATCTGCATTTAAAAGACTGGAGCATATTTGAGTAACTTTACATTTTGACCTTGGTGGATCATGTGACTAACATGTTTTTCATGAAAGGCAATCTTTCACATGTTTTCTACAACATAACTTTCAGTGATGTACATTTTTATTTTTGCAGCAATAAGAGGTCAAAGTACACATACCTCGGATTTGCAATGAATATTCAGTGAATACCCATTGAATGACTTTCGATTAATATTTGAGGTTCTCCTGCCGTCAGCTGCTGTTCTCGCATTTTTCCCCCTCAGGTGCACTGCAAATTCATTTTTTTATTTGAAATGTTTTTTTTTTTAAGGTGGTTCCAAATGGGCACCAACCCAAACACTGGCTCCCAGGACTGGAACTACTCTGGTGGTTACTTCAGTAGGAATTACCAAGACCTGCCTGATATCTACTGATGAGACTGGTCGTCTTTACCCTCCAACCCTTCCGGCGCTCCTGCACACTTTGTCATAACTTCGAGGGACTTACTTTAAAAACTTAACCCTTCACCATCGCACACATCCAGCACAGATAGGAAAGACTTCCACAAAGGCCTTGAACAGTCGCCTCATCTTGACTTGCTCGCTTCTTCACCATCAAGGATTTGATGTCAACTTTAGTTGTGTGAACTGTAAGTGTTTGCCATCATTGCTCGTTATCGTTTCTTTCATCTGTCACGGCGGAATGTGTGTGGTGTTAGTCCTTAATGCAACATTCTGTGTTAAAAAAAACAAAAAACAAAATGGGCTTGAGCAATGGAATGATGATTACAAAAGTAAGGTAAAATGTCCTTGCCTCCCACGCTGTCCAAAAAAAAAAAAAAAAAAAAGGAAAAAAGACCCCTAACTTGGATGTTTAAGATGCTGAAGGTTTGCAAAATTCCAGAATGATTCCATTCCAGTGTCAAAAAAATGTCGACTATATTGGGATGTCAAGATACTTGCCATCTTAATATGACGAAGAGAAACATTGCGACATTCCTTGTTCATATTCTCTCCATTTAGATCAGGTTTGTAGAAGACCACCAGCGCATTGAGTTTTTATTTTACATTCCTCTTGAATGTGAAAATTAAAAAAAAAAACAAAACAAAAAAAAAAACTCAGCTATCACGCCGACTGGTAGTAATTGTGCAGAAATCCCAAACAGCTTAAGCAAGAAAATATTTGGACCACAGTTATTTTTGTTTCACTATTGCATATTGTAAAAAGCAAACGTATGGATTCTGTTCGATGGTGGCCAAACTCCTCCCCGCCTGCCTGTAATTTTTTTTTGAAGCACTTAACCACATACACCCTTTAGACTTATTTGTACATGTCGTCACTATGCCTGTTACATCTGCAAACTTTTTTTTTTTTTTTTTTTTTGCAAAGGCTAATCTATGTGATGTGTAGACAAAACACTAAAGTTGGACGCCGCGTCGGGATGCGCAAGAGTTGTTTGAAACACAAAACGGTACAACACTCTCATCTATTGACAATTCCAACAAACGGGCCGTCAAGGTCAAATCCTTTTTTTCTTTTTGGTTTGTTTTTGTTGTTTCTCCCGAATATGTCTTCTGTTGAATTTTAACCTCCTCCTCTTGGACTATCAATGTGGTTGTGGTTGTTGTTGTTTGTGTACAAGTGTTACACAGAGGTAATCACACGCAAAAATGAATGACACATTATTTTGTGCAATTGACTTATTTTTATAGTATTTAAAAGCATTTTCTTTGGTGAGAACATACCACCAGATGTTTTATGTTTTGGTGGGGGACTGTATAGGCATACTGTGGACAGCTTGATAGAGTCATGTACAGGAGAATGTCTACTAATAAAATCCTTAATTTCAGTTTTGGATGGTGACCTTTTTTTCTTTTTCAACAAAATTTAAATGAAAGAGTATAGAATATTTTTCTACCCTATTTAACGATATTTATTTTTCATGTTTAAGTTTACATTTTCTGTCTAATGAAGTAGATGCAGACCATTCTTCTAAATATTTTTTTAGATACTCTCGACAAATGTCTACACAGTCAGTAGGCCGACAGGTTACACAAAATTGATTAGTCAAATATTGGTGACAAAATAGAACCAGGGCGCCCGGTGGTCCAGTGATTAGCGCGTTGACCTCACAGTGCAGAGGTACCGCGTTCAATTCCAGCTCCGGCGTGGGTTTTCTCTGGGTACTCCGGTTTCCTCCCAAATTCCAAAAACATGCATGGCAGGCTGATTGAACACTCAAAATTCTCCCTCAAAATTCTCCCTCGAGTGTCCCTTAGAGTGTTCAATCAGCCTGCCACGCATGTTCTTGGAATGTGGGAGGAGCAGCAAAAAAGGTGTTCCGAAAGGTGTTCTGACACACCCGTGATGCAGAAGACAGGCAAAAAGCAACGGAACCATTAAACCTAAAACGGCAGCACTAACGCAAATCTAAATGACATTGTGACTGCTCTAGTGGGAATGCACTCCATAAGTCTTGACCTTTGACTTCAGCTGCTTCATCAAACTATCACGATGATCATCATCATCATCATCATAGTTTTGATTATTTTAGCACAAGTCCTCATTATCTTTGACTTCAGCTATACCAACATACCAAATATCTTGATCTGAGACCTTTCATGTACCCTGTAACTCGATAACATGATAAGCTGTCCACTGTCGTAACCGCTCCCCCTGAAAGGGTTAAAACTACAATGCATGCACAATAAAATGTCCACAGCAGTTTTGTATGTATTTTGTATTTTATTTTTTTTTTCCTGATTGAAATTTATTTTAAGGTCATAATTTGTCATTCATCACATTACATGGCATGATGCACCAGGTCTACTACACCCATTTACAGGAGGAACACACGGAAACATACACAAGGTTTTACAATGGGGAAAACGGGAAGTTTAGCTCATTGCACTTACAACAGTGAACGTTGTTGTTATTGTTAGGCTCTTTTTTTTTTTTTACCATATCCAGCTTCATCATTTTTTTAAATATGATTTTTACACTTAATGTCCATTTCCCCCTCCAAATGTCATCTGCTTTCCCCCAAATTTACATGGATGCCAGAAAAAGTAAACCCACCTTCTGTTTTGAACGGCATCTCATCTTACAAACACCACATTTAAAGAAACTCTACACGGACCAATATGTTATCAGATTCCAAGTTTTTTTTTTTCTTCCAAATGATCATAAAGCAGTCGCCACGAGCCAGCCACGCACATAATGCAACGGGTTGTCCTTAAGCGATTGAACTGATCTTCAGCTCTGTTGCACTTGTTTTGATACATGCTTAAAGCACACGTTTGGCTATAAGGAGGCTCAGGCTTGCATACGCTCCAGCTTGTGCTTGCCATGTGGTGTGCAAAAGGCCCCCCACCATCACCACCCACTCATGCCTGCTTCTGTTATCATTGCTGACATTTGCATGTTGGAAAAAAAAACATGTCATGAACTGCCATGATTGTGTAAAGTGGACCGGCTCTCATCCGCTATTTACACTGAGAACAAACGCCAAAAAAATGCCAGCTCGTGTGGTGGAGTGTCGACGAGGCTCAAAAAGTCAAGGGAAGGGGTTGGGTGGACTCTTTTCTCTGGGGTCAATTCATGCATGCCATTTCACTCATGATTCTTTACATGGACAAACAAACAAAAAAAACACTCCCATCCGATTTCATAGCTTGTCTTAGTTTTTTTCTCTTTCCGACTCCTGCTCACCTAAAACATCTCTTCATAAATATCTGTATTTATAATATGCCTTCTATTTTAAGATCTTTCCCTTTGTCATGCTGCCCTATGTACTACTGTAAAAACGTTTTGACCGCATACACAGACAAAAATAAAAAATATATATATCTGAGCGACATTTCGAACACCTGCATTATTTTCACGGCTGCAAACATATCGGTAAACATTGTTAAATGCAGACCTTGGGTCTTTTTCGTAGCTGTAAAATCATGAAAACAAATGTTATTTAAAAAAAATTGAATAATGTAAACTTCATTTTAAAAATGCATTTTAAACAAAACTGGTCAGTTATTGCTGAGGCTACCCAGAGACAGTATTAAAAATGAAAGAAAGAAGGTGTTAGTGACAGCTCACGACTTCAAAGTGTAATAAACACTCCAAACCGTCTTCTGTTCTATTTTGCGCATAAAGCAGAGTTGACCTGATCTTGGGAGATTTTTGGATCCTTTTCATGTCCAAAGGAAATTGAATGTCAAAAATGTGAATCATCCGCAAAATACGTGTTATTGTTGTCTACTTTTGTGCTTCAAACATGCCGCGGACTGGCGATTTTCATTCTCAAGTTGAGTTATATTACGTTCCTAGAATTAGACAAGACACCTACAGAGTGCAGATAGAGAGCACAACTGCTTCAATGGCTTTCTTCGATGACTAGTATTACACTGTTAAGAATAAAAGCCCTTGCTGCAATGCATATTTAAGTCACCTTGAGTGGCTGATTTGTGACAAGCAAACGTGAAGTCTCAACGCTGGCAAAGTTAGGAACGATTGATTCTTTAGAAGCCACGAGACGATCCTGTTGAGAAGGTGAGTCAATATGACGACTTTTGATACGACAAAACTGAACGGAGTCAGTATAACCACGATTCTCACGCTGCAATTTGAACATTGAAAGTTTTGCCTCCACCCAGCTCGATATGAAATAATACTTTCAACACTGTCACATTGTTTTTGAACATTAGGCTTCGACGTCCTCCTTTCTGAAACCTCCCAACCGTCCAACGTCCCCTTCCATTACCGTAAAATAAATTCTGAAATAAATAATCCTCCTTCATATTTCACAAAATATAGACTTCTTTAAAATGACGTATTTTTACTCTAAAGAAAAATAGCAATTGTCTCGTCTTTCCCTTGCCCCCCCTCACGTTCTCGACAGTATACATTTCAAACTCCTGTTACGTCACCGCTCCAAGTGACACATTGTGAAGTTAACATGTTTTGGTCGGTGAAAACATGTACTGTACAAAATTGCCAGTTGAGTTCATTTAACTCGATACCAAACAATGTTTATTAGGATTATTAAGGAACATTGTCACTGCTCCCGAGAAACAACGTAACAAGAGGGTGAATGTAATCGTTGCTTTTAAATCATGGAAAACCCCTCTGCTCTTCCTTTGATCCGATTATTTGTACCCCTCGCGTAGTTTATTTCTTTTGTCATCAGAAAAGAAGCAAAATGCGACGAACCTTTTTTTTCACCGTATGAGCAGCCGTGGATGACGTAGCGCATTTGGGAATAAACGGACATCTGTATAGAATCTCTCTCAATATATATGAATTTCTTGATGCATCTCTGGAGAACACCTCTCAACGTTTCTGCTGATGACTGCGTGTTCTGCTGTCAGCTTTGCCTTTCTTGCTTCTCTTTTTTGTTCTTCCTACTTCAACCCAACAAGCTACCTGTTCTGGAAAACATATCTCAGCCAAGTTAACCAAGACTGAAAGCAACGTCACCAGTAACGAGTGACATCGGGGATCTGCTGCTAATGCCTGGGGGCATGTGTTCTGCTTATCTCGCTCTCATTTTTTTCTCCTCACTTATTTGAACTCTCCTGTTACATTTAACTTCACAAACGTTTTGTATTCTCGGGGCCAATTTAATCACAGAGCACTTGAATTTTTACCCATACAATATATCTTAAATATATCTTACAGGAGAACCCCTCCCTCCAAATAAAAGATTAGTTTGGAAAAAAAAAATAAATTCATAAGTGAAACTATTACAATGAATGAGAAACTTCAACGTAATTAAACGTTGCATGGGGTTAAATTGACGCCCGCCACCCCCCAAAAAAAGATTATGAGGGTTAAGAGCTCCCTTAAATACCACAAAACTCAGCCTAGCTGATCACACTGTCAATGAAATAAACATCTTTACTATTATTCAATGACAGTGGCAAAACCCGAGCGTTTGGCGACAATGGTGTTTTGTTTTATTTGTATTCCCCTACTATTCTCACTTCTATTTGTACAGTTACCAAATGGGATTTATTGCATAGAACGATTGGAGATGAAAGGTCGCCTTTCTTTTTAGCCCCGTACCATACCTGTGGCGAGTGAACAGTTTTTCTTTTTATGTTCCTCATCGGCGGACATATACGAACAGAACTGCCACACTCACGCACATACATACAAATTTTAGGAACAGAACAATATAGAGGTGACTTTGAGATTTGTCTTTTTTTTTTTTTGTGGCTATTTTGTATCAACGCCGGGCAGCATGCGAAGGTCCCCGGCGAGCATTCACGCGGACAATATACAACACAAGTTTCGATTTCTGCTCATCACGTTTGGCCTCAACAGTACGTTTGTTGTTGCTGTCGTGTGGCGTACAAGCAAAGCACAGATCCCACAATGCACTGCAGGAGCATCACCAGCAGGAGGGAGGGTACTGACCTGAGTAGTTTCCATAACAACTGAGATAGGTTGTAGGTCAGGGTGTGATAGAAAAAAAAAAAGCGATTTTTGGTTCCTTTTTTCCCCCCCTCTTTTGACACTATTTTCAAATGTGCTTTCATGTGCGCCGTGCACATTCGACTTGAGTGAAGACACATGCTGATCAAGTGCGAGGTCTGAACTCGGGAGGAAGTGGCAGTGCGGGGCAAGGTTGGTCCATAGTGACCCCGAAAGCCATCGCAGGATGCCAAGTCTGGTGTCTACTTCTTCAATGCTTCTCTGTTGGCCTGCGGTGCTCTTGGCCATATTGATGACTCGTGGCTAGAGATGTCCCACCGTGATTGGTAGCAGGTTGTTAGACCGTATTAGTGAGCCACAACCGGAGGACACCATTGAGAGGTTGAGGTTAAGGGATGGGGGCCGGGGAGGGGGGTGTTAAGTTTCCTCATATGCTGATTGCTGAGCGCCAAATCACTGATAATTTAGAGGCAACACGTTTCTACTTTTTCAAATGACACACCGTTGTGCTCTTGACCATCTCGGCTCCCTTAATTCTATTGCTTTGCTCTCGTTCAGAATTCCACGACTGTGAACAGGAAAAAAAAAAAAAAAAAATCAAAGGAGCTTGGCAACCAAAGTGACACAAATAGAAAAAAAAGGCGATGATTACAAAAATAGAAATGAATCCCATTGCTAGCGGACAGAAATACGAAAATGACGTGTGTTCTTGGATGTCCTAAAAAAATAGTCCGCTTTCACGTGAAAATAACGTATAAATAAATAATTAAGGCTGTGCTGGCAACGGAACAAAATAACAACGCAAACATGGGAAACGTAGAACAACACCGACAGAAAATGTCGTACTGGCTGAAAACCAAGCGGCTTCCCTCTGAATACAAATTTTTGCATTTTTTTTTTTTTTAAAGTATCCCATCATTTCCATTTCGTTCCTGTTTGTGTAGTTGAGCTCGGATGCATTTTGCCAGTGTCTTTATGGCCTCCGTTCAATGATGACCAACAGTGTAAAGGTCTTGGATATAAAGTTCCATGCATTCCAAATTCTCCCTCTCGCCCCCTCCACTATACACTTCTTGAAAGACAAATTGAGGAGAATAGAGGGGGGTTGGGGATTACAAAACAGAATTGGACGAAGCGCGGAAGAGGAGTCATAATCTGGAATGTAGATCGAAAGAGAACGTCGCCGTTGACATTCGTCATTGATGCGTTTCTCTGAACTGGGCACGTGAAGAAACAAAGAGGTGGTCGGTACCAGAAAAACCTGCGCTGCACTTTTTTCGACGTCCCTTTTTCTTCCTAATTCTTCAGATGAGAGGAAGAGGAAGAGGAGCGAAACTGCTTTGTTGGATGAGAACCAAGCATGCCAAAGTCCCCCCAGTGGCACACGATGAAGTCGTCTGCATACGTTGCATCATTCATCTTTTCCCAGTCATGCTTGCGGATGCGCCGGATCCACATGATTGACTGGTTGTACATGAGTCACGGTGACCTTTTGGATTGAAGATTCGACCCCTGGAATGATCTGTGGAAAAGCAGAAGTCATTTTAGGCAAAGGGCAGCGCGGTGGAGAGCATTTGCTCCTCACAGTTCTGAGCTTCAGGGTGTTCGATTCTCAGCTTCGGGCCTTCATGTGTGGAATTTGTATGTTCCCCGCCGTGTTTGGGTGGGTTTTTGTCGGGTACTCTGGCTTCCTCCTGAATTCCAAAAACCTGCATGTTCGGTTCATTGTAGACGAAACTGTTCAAAAAGCATGAATGGTTTGTTTGTTATATGCCCTGTGATTGGCTGGTGACCAGTCAGCTGGAAATTATTTGGAAATCATTTCTTTCTTGGAGAATTTACTGCTAGGAGTTTTTGTACTTTTCATTTGGAATGTCATGAAATGTGTTACTGTATACACCAAAGATCAGCAGTTTTGTTTTCTTTATCAACCATATGTGAACCTAACCCTGATCTTAAAACCAAAGTACTGTAGGTAGTGTGCTGAGATATTTTTTTTTTTTTGGTGCTCTGGAAAGACATTTTTCTTCTCTAACATCGTCATTATCATTACATTTTTGCATTGATGGACCGGGGAAAAAAAATTCAATTCTCCTATGTTAAGCCTTCTTGACGGTGCTATTTTCATGAAAGTGGACGTAAAAAGTCTCCACACCTACGTTCAAATGCAGATCCTTCCAAAACTGGCGAACAGCCTACTAGAACTTCTGAACTTTACTTGGGGTTACGCAGAGGCACCTGCGTAACCCCATCAACTTAATTGAATGTTTCCCGCAGTAGCGCGAGGCAAAACTCACACTCAACTTCACACACAGTAACTTCTCCAGGTTACAATTTCTCACACAATCAAGGGAGGTGCAGCACAAGCGCCACATTAACCCTTTCATGCAGCAATAATGAAAACCTGTAACCTCATAACATGATAAACCGTCCACTGTAGTAACCGCTGTCCTTTGAAAGGATTGAACATCTGCCTTTCCAAAGATAAGAATGCTCCGTTTTGATTGACAATGAAGTGAATATTCAACAATACATTCAATATTGCGCACGTTATGGAGTTTATGTTGCCACATGAGAGGGTTCAAAAACATTAGAAACAACTCCCAGGATGATCCCAACAGGAAGGGATGTGGGGGTCAAACATGCACTCATTGCTAATACGGCTATGCTAATTTAAGCATTTTTTTTTAATGCTTTAAAGAAAATAGTTCTGTTTTTACAGGATAATAGATTAGGATAGTTTAAGGCCGCCTCTCTTTGTTGCACACCAGGAATAGCTCTCATCATTGAAAAAATCTAAAAATAAGCTTGGATTCTGTTTTTAACTCGAAAAGGCACTAACGAATGTCCAAAGGCATCACATTTCAAACAAGCGTGGCTCAAAGTGAACCGGTGGGAGCGACTTCATTTAAAGTGGACATGCTCTAGTAAATGTATTTATTTGTGTAAAAATCTCTGGAGTTCCTGCTCATGCATTAAGTGGGGAATTTGAACAATGATGTAAATCTTTTTTTGGGGCTGTCTACTTTGGAAAATGTAAACAAGTGCCCCAACATCAAATTTTTCCGGCCGTGTTTTGGCATCTCGCATGGGCGAATAGCCACCATTGTTTGGCAACAGCCAAATTCTGTGAATAGCTTTAAATAGACAAGTGGTGACATCAACTCAGCACCATTCATTTGCAGTTTCACTCATAATTAAAGGGGGGCATGGCGGAGAAACTTGTGTACGCATGCCTCAAAACAACTCCAAATTAATATTATTATTATGTTTTTTTTGTTTTTTTTACAACAATGCCAATTTTCTACTCGTGCAGTGTAATAATCAACAACGTAATTGAATTTTGATGAATTGCACATCCTTATTAGGGAATTTGTATAAAGACAACGAGGAATGGCTTTAAAACTCGTGTCCTCTTCAAATTTACTTTCGGCAAAAAGCCTGGATCCAGCTTCGACAAAGTCAAAGTACTCACTTGCATGCTTGAGGCTGCACTTTGCTCGCTCCTTCTCTTTCTCTCTCTCATGGAATGAAAAACAAGAGGAATGTTGTTGCAGGTTTGTCTGGTACGAGGTCTCATGGCTTTGAGATTTTACATAGTCCTGCAAAGGCACAAATGTCAATTGTTACACTTTCTCTCGTTCGATTTTGTTCGCCTAAGTATCGGTGGTTGGTATCGGCAGCCTCCATGAGTACCAATACCGTAAAATAAGACTGTGATCGGCAAATCTCGACAAGTGTTCTTCTATATCATTCCTAGGAAATCACAATGTGCCATCCGGAGTAAACTATTTTTGGAGTAGGCCTTGCTCCACCTGTCCGGGCCTTCCTGGTGCCTGCGGGGATGCGGATCAGGATGTGCAAACTGATATACAAAGAAGCAACATGTGATTTTTAAAAAGAACAAATGGGCCATGACTAAAAGAGATCCAAATAATTCAAGCTTGACTGCGGAGCCTCGGGGGGGGGATGTTGCCTCTCCGCTCTGCACCCTGCGCCCCCTCCTGACAGTTCATGTTTAATTAAGACAATTAAAGTGGTACCTTGAATTTGAGAAAGCCGTCAGTGCACTTCAGGATCCCGCCCAGACCAGAATAAAAGGAAGAATTCTACGCATGCGCGTCTTTTTGTTTTATCCTTCGGCTTTTAGTGACAGTATAGAAAGCGTTTTCCGCAAACGTGAGGCACTATGACACAGGAGAACAAACGCGCGCTAGAGCCACAATAAGACAGCGCTCACATACTCCGTTGGGAGAACACCGTCTGAACTGTCTGATTATCCTCTGCTGCCTACAAGAGGAAACCATCCACACGACACTGCGGCGTTCTGACAACACCCCACAAGACCTCCAGCCAGCGGAACTGTATTTTTTTTTTTTTTAAGCTACTGATGTCCAATTTTGGGTTCTTGGTACACATTTCAGACTTGTGCCATTGCACGTACCTTGTGATCATGTTAAGAAGTATGTTAAAGCGTCATTTTTGTCATTTTAATCGTGTCTCATTTGCTCGAGCACGTTTAAAACGTAAAAAAAAAAAAAAAATTCATGTTATTGTATTATTTTATTCTTCAATAAATAAAAACTTCTAACCACAAACACGCACATGAAAGTAGCAAAAATTGGTACCGTTAAGTACTTAATATCGATTCTGGGGTATCGTTAATCAAAACTGAACCGGCTCCAATATGAAAGGCGCCCATCCCTAATTATTTGTAATAAATAAATCATAATTTTGGGAGCAATTTAGTGAAATTGGATCCTCTCCTCGGGCATACGAGCTTTCACAACACACTGATGTGCTGTGAGCCAGTGGTTGGGAATTCATTATTTAGATTAGTGTAGTAATACTGCATGTGGATGAGTTTACAGTATTTATTTATTTATTTATTTATTTCAATCTGCAGAAGAAAAACAACACTCCGAAAAAAGAAACAGGATTGAAAGAGTAGCTTGCAATTACAGAGTTAAAAAAAAAAGGGCACGTGGAAGTAAATTAGCAAAACAAAAATACACACCTTATATTTAGCACTTTAGAAGAAAGAGGTGAACTTCTTGCCAAAGCCGGATATAGCTGGGAAGAATAAAAGACAATTATAAGTGAAAGTGATGATTCAAGAAACATTTGAAGAATACTTGGCGATGAAATCAAATCAAATGTTGATGAGCGTGCGCTCATGCAATGAGTTGTTGAGGTTTACCTTCTCCGAGTTTGCCAGCCTGCTCGGCAGCTCCTCCTGGCAGAATTTTGGACAACATGCTGTCTCCCTCCATACCCGGCTGCCCCGCTGCCGCACTGCCTATGCCTCCGGGTCTTGGAGCAGCTTTGGAACCTACCGGAAGATGATGATGATTGATAAGGTGAGGAAGAAAGGAACCGATGGATGATGTTGAAAATCGAATGTGTCTTTAACTTCTTGTTACGCTTGGGTATGGCTTTATGCCGCCTTGACCCAATGTACAGGTCTGGTCAATTTCACCACATGAGCCACGCCGGTTTGATCCTACCGACCACTCATCTGAAGTTGTTCAATTTAGAATTCAACAAGCAGCAAAGGATCGATTATCGGACATCTGTGAAAGATTATCCCGAGCGATTATCCTGTGGTGTTGGGTGTGTAAGTGATTTCTTTGATTCATGATCAACTCGAAAAACATTCTGAGTGACAGTATTTTCCATTGCAAATCCTGATGTGTGCGTGGTCAACAAAGCGACTCCGTGATTTTAACGTCAAACAGAACAATTAGGAATCGACGCAAATAGAGGAGGTGAGTGTTTGTATGACACGTCTTGTTACGTCATCCACCATAATAAAAATGGAATGGAAAAGAGTTTGCAGCCATCATGAATTTATGCGGTTGGCCTTTCTATTTCTTTTTCTTCTACTTTTGCTTTGCGTTTGTAGTTGCTCGTAGCCTGGATGCCCCTTGTGGCATCCGGGTACTCGCCCAGGTCAGTCGTGGTACGATGACAGACGTCTGGTTTGGGGAAGGAGACTCATTCCCATCAAATTCGTTTTGTGTGTCTGGTGTGTTGTGCACCACACACAGAAAGAGCAATACGCATCATTCTCGTCACGTGTGGGGTCTCTCACATTTCAAAAATCATTGAAGGTGTTCAAAATTGGGATCGGCGAGTTGTACTGTTTTCATGTTTGACTTTACAGCGGTGAACTTCTTTTTCAAATTTCACTTGATAAATTCTGACCATGACCATCTCTGTGTAGTTTATGAAGGCGGCCGTTTGTAAATGAAACAGAATATTTCTTTGGCGGTGATTTGCCATGGTGAGATTTGCTTCCAAGTCAGAGGGAAACCGGCTTCCCAGAATTACGTACATTCCACAGTACACCATACGTAATAACAGAAAACTAACATTAATGACACAAATCATATCAAAGATGTGGATCTGGATGTGTGTACATCACCTATGCCCGTGAGTGGCGGTTGAGCTCCTTTTGAGGCCATGACGGGGGCCGCCTTTGCCCCGATGGCCGTCACTGGAGGTGTCTCAATCTGCAGAGAGAGAACGAGAGAAAGAGCTCCTCACTTAGCAACGTTGCTGAATATAGCAGAGGACAAATACCGTCTGCCACCTGGACCCACGTCCTATCTGAATTGTACACCCACAGGAAGTGAAAATGGAAGCTGTTAACAGCTCTTTGATCATACCTCCAGAGGAAAACTCGAATGGCGTTGTTTGAGTCAAGTTCTTCCACATCAAACTCATCCAAGCATGCGCTCACTTTGTGCACCGGGGAGAGAATGGGAAAGACCTCGCCCATATGGAAGCATACAGTCGTTCAAAATGACTACGTGGGGTACATACAGTAAGTGATTTGTGACTGCTTTTGATGATTTAATTGATTTCAAGGGTGTCAAGACTTAGTGCAGCTCCCACATGCACCATGCTGGCAGAGAGCAACCAGGTTCAATTTTATCGACGTCTCAAAACACAGGCCAACGGAGCAGAGAGATAAAGAACCAAAGAGGAGAGATGCAAATGCAAACAAAGATGACACAAAAGACCCCGCAGGGAGCCAGAAGGAAGGTGACAGTCAAAGCTGCTTCATTGCTCTTGTGTTGTGACAGCTCACAAAAGCAAATGGAAGGTGAAGTCAAAGCAGGAAAATGTCTGCTGAGTCATGAGCACAGTTTTGTGTTGTGCATTGTCACATTTTCCAGGCTGCTCTGACACAGCAGTTAAACACGGCCCTTCTAATATCCTATTTCACTGAACTCAACAAAAACTACACATACTTTACAATAGTGACTATACTGGGGAGACAGTAGCTCATACTCTGAAAACTTTGAAAACGGAGAATCCTGATTTAAATTCCGGATATAAAATATAAAAAGTGCAACTACTTGTTGGCGAGATGCTAAATTGCTTCCTGGTTCCTGTCAGTCAAGGTGCCCTTGAGCAAGGCATCATCCTCAGCCCCCCAGAGTACCGTATTCTCCGCACTATAAGACACTTCGGAGTATAAGGCGCACCTTCAATGAATGGCTTATTTTAAAACAGTTTTCATATTTAAGGCGCACCACATTATAACGCACCATAGAATAGAAGCGACAATAGTGGCTGCGGTTACGTTATGCATCCACTAGATGGAGCTAAGCTAAATGGAATACAATTCCCAAATTTATATATACATCTATATAATACAGGGGCATATAATGCATGTAAAAATGAGTTTAAAAGAGTATTGTTTAGTGAAAGCAACCAATGAAAATGTAGCTGTTGACTTCCTGTACTCACCATGGGGGCAGTTGTTGTTCCCGTGGGACCTGTCTGCCTGGCTTGTCCCATAGCTCCACCCGCTGCTCCTATTTGCCCGGGTTTGGCCTGGCCCTGCCCCACCCCCATGCTTTGTCCTTGGGCTGGGGGCTGTGGCTGAGCACCGGTGGTTGTTGGGGGCCCTTGGTGCCCCGGCCTTGCCGTTGAAGTCTGGGCTTGCTGTTGGAGCTGCGTCCTCTGTCCTGCGACACCATCGTTTTGGGAAACCTGACCAACCTGTCGCCCGGATCCTGTAGGACCACCTGTAGGGCCCTGTCCCCTTGAAGAAGAGCCAGACCTGGAAGTACCTAAACGTTTTGTTTGGGGGGAAAAAAAAGACCTGATAAGCCTCATGTTTGATTTTAATCTATATGTTTCACTGAAGACGATCGTAAACAACTGCAACGATTACAAGAGGGAGAGAAATTATATCAAAAATGAGAATGAGCAAAAATCGGAGATTTAATGAACACATGACTAAGAACGCAGCCTCAGTGTTGCCCTCAGGGAAAATATTCCTGCAAGAGGTTACGATTTCATTAAAAACTGCTGATCCCCATGGGGACATCGATTGTAAAACAGTACCAAACTGCAACTGAAAAAAGATATTAAACAGTTTTGCCTGATATTAAAAAAAAATCATTAGCAATGAAAGGATCTCAGTTCCAACAAGATTTCATAACATGCAAATTCCACACTGCCGGTCCAAGCCTTGATTGGAACCCAGAACCTTTTTGAGACATACATGAGACATGTAAGTGACCCTGAAAAAAATATTTTTAGTTCCAATTATTTTACAAAACTTTTCAAAGACTATTAGTAAAAGGTACAATATTCCCCCCGTGTACCTGTTGGCTGGCCTTGCATGTCGACTTGTTGTTGAGACTTGCTGCGTGATGAGCGATGCGGATCCCCTTGCCTAGAAGATCTCTGACTGTGATGGTGGCCGGACGGATCCCGAGAGTAGTCCGACGAGTGGTAGGCTCCCGACCTAGAATCACCACGTCTTCCTGATGATGAAGACCGCCCTGAAGGATCGTGCCGCACGGACGGGTCTTTTGGGTGTCCCTTAGATGACCGAGAAGATCTTGGTTCATCTGAATGACGTGAAGAGGATGAGTGCCGACTTGAGCTGCCATGATGTCGGTGGTCGCGGGTGGACGAAGAGTGTCGTCCTCCATGGCCGTACTCATCCTGAGGCCACAGGTCCTCCTCAGGCGGCTCATCATAGTCGTGATAGGTGTGTTTGACACCATGACGACTCCTTCCCGATGCGTGGCTGCTGCCGTAATGTCGAGAACTGGAACGTGGCTTCTCAAACCAGTCTGTCTCTTCCTGGCCCAGATGGTAGGCTTTGGAAACCGAAAGCAGATCACAGTCAATCTCCATGTCGTTCGGAGACAGCGGCATGCAGGCTGAGAAAAAGAAGGAAGACCACCCACATGCCAAAGAAAAGTATAAGAAGAAGAAGACACAGTAAATCAAAATACTACATTTATACCCATGCAGAGTACAATTTACTTCACTTTCACAGTACAAGACTGTAACTACAGTAGATAAAATAAACACTGCAAAAATGTCCACCGTGAAAACGTTACCTTTTCATTTTCAAGGATAAGCCAATCATGTTGGGTAAAAATGGTACGGCGAGTCCTAAGTATGAAAAATCTACCGGTGGTTGAGTTTGTCCATCCAAAATGATAATAAGACTATTTTGCAGTGCAACCAGAATTCAGAAATGAAAACATGTATAAAATATCAATGCAAAAGACAGACACAAGATTACGATAAATCCCTGTAAAACAATTTGCATTGGTGACGTGCAAAGAAGACCTTCCAAGGGAATCAGAGTGGTGCGAACGAAGAAAACGACCACGCCGGAGAACCATGCGTGTACTGGACAAACAGATGACCAGACGGACAGGCGGAGGGACGGACAGGCAGGCAGACAGACAGACAGCAGTCCACTGAAATGAGAGCTCCAAGTAACTCTCAGGAAGAAGAAAACATTGGCATGCAACAGCTAGCTCTGCCTCATTTTCTTCTCTTTCTCTTTTCTACGCCTATCCATTGGGCGGGTGGGGGACGTTTAGATAAATGGTGGGGGCAGTAGTAGGTAGTGAGACCGTGGGCATTCAGCTCCCACAATTACCTTCGCTGTCTGACACAGCACAATGATAATCGTCTATTATGTATGTATCATCCGACTTGTAGACATGGGTCCGGGGTAGGTCCCGTATGTGGTCTTGCACATCTGGCAAAGAGTGACTGGAACCATACTGGCCATAATAGTAATGGTATCTAGTGCTGCGGCTGTCATATGGGTCGGGACCTAAGCTTGATGATCGCCCGGAGCCCATGAATCTCCCCAGGGGACTGAGCGGGCTCTCCTCTTCAGAGTACTGCCTGGTTGGGTGGCGCCCTCGACTATAGCCAGATCGGTAGGATCGGTCATCCCTCTCATAGGATCTGCTGCGGTACCCAGAGTAGTCTCTGGCAGTGATCTTGTCCATGCCGTAGCCGGTGGAGCGGGAACGGCCAGTGGAAGTGTAGTAAATCCTGTCGTCCTCCTCTCCCATTGAGCCAAAGTATCGACTACCATGGGTGATGCCACTGCCACTGTCGTAAGTGCTCCTCTTGAAGCCGTAGTCCTCTATCAACTGCCGTCCTCGGATGTGGGAGGAGTAACTCCCACTAGCTGCTGAAGAATAGGCGGCCAGGTCTGCCTCGACATCCCGAGCCTCCTCAATGGGGGAGAATTTGGAGATTTTCTGCTCCATGCTGCCCAGTTTCCTGTGCTTGCTGCGTTTGGTGGACATGACAGCAGGAGCCAAAAGGCTTCTGGGGGACGACGATTTCTGCACCCCAGATCGAAAGCTGCCATGTTTGTAGTCGTAGTCATAGTAATAGGGCGATCCCCCACCCATGCTAGTGCTCACGCTGCTGCTGCCCCCTAGAGGTCCGTGCCTGTAGCTGCTCTTACCCCTGCCATGGTGGTCGTACAATTCTTCCTGCATCGCTGCCTCCTCCTCGGGTGCCCTGCCGTACATGGCGCTGCCAGTTCCCCCACGCGTCGTGCTGCCAATGGTGCCGCTGTGACCATGGGTGTCGCCAGGGTAACGCCCCGTGCCGCCGTGATGCATCATGTCCCCTGTTGTCGTGCCCAGCCCGTTTTTTGCCGTCAGCTCACTTACGTCATCTATCATCATGTAGTTCCTTGGGATATTTTGTTCTAAACCTGGTGCCCCGTACATGCCATCTGCTGTACTGTAGGTGGAGGGACTATCCACACCATGGCCATAGGCATTGGAAACCGTTGACGTGTACTGTCCATATGAGCTGGCTGTTGTTGCTGTGTAGCCATATGCATTAGCAGTGGTTGTGGTGTACTGGCCATACGAACTAACTGTTGTTGATGTATACTGTCCATAAGTGCTGGGTGGAATGGTAGAAAACCCACCGTAACTACTGGATACGGTCGCTGAGCCATAGGGTCCATAGTTGGCCATGGTTGTTGTTCCAGTGTATTGACCAAATGAGGCGGCTGAACTGGAATAGTTGCTCTCCTGCGCCGTGGTGGTAACCACGACTGTAGGGTTGCTGATTGTCTCGTAATTGGTGGGCATCTTGTGCTCCAGATCAGCCAGTGACGTTTGCCTGGGTCTTCCTTGATGTACTGTCAAAATATCTGTTTGAGGTTGCCCAGGGTAAGGGGCATTCTGGCTGGGGTAAGAGGACACAGCACTCGGATAAGGTGAGCTGTGTGTGGGGTATGGGGGCTGACCAGGTGGTGCGGGCCCAAAACCTGTGTGCCCTGGTTGGGGCTGCGGTTGCGGTGCACTTGGCAACCCTATGTCTGTTTGAGGGTACGGGGGTTGAGTTTGGGGGTAGCTGTGGGTAGAGTATGAGGTTTGAGTTTGGTAGGATGGTCCCGAGGGGTGAACATGACTCTGGAGGGGTGCTGGCTGTGGTAAGGCCTGGGACTGGGACACTGTTGGATAAGGAGCCTGGTTGAATGTTGAGGACTGGAAGGGTAAACTTGATTGAGTTGGTGCTGCGGGTTGGCTCTGGGGGTATTGAGAATGGAAAGATGATGTTGGCGTGTATTGAGCTGCTGTGTTCAGATCATTGCTAAACTGGCTGAGGGGAGCAGTACTTGGTCTTGTTGTCAACAGTCCATTGGTCTCATGCGATGCAGCTGCAGCTGCCAGTCGTAGGTTGTTCAACTCGCTATCAGACATATAGTCCCGAGCATCACCCATACATCTCAGATAAGCAATATCCCTCCTCTCTCTCTCCTTGACCAACGTTTCTTTCCTTTGGTGGATCCCTAGTTCAAGGTATCTCAGCTTAGCATCAATCTCCTTCTCCTCCTCCTCCAGTTCAGCTTGCTGCTTTCTCAGCTTTGTCGATTCTTGCTCCACTGCCTTCAGCTCATGGGTGAGGTCTTTGAGAAGGCTGGCTTTGGCAGCTAGGCCAGACCTAGAGCTGGGCTTGAGGCTGGGCACGGATGGCAAGTAGACTTGTTGGAGGGCAGGTGTCATCAGAGGCAGATGAACTGATGCAGTCGTCTCTTCTGGAGGAGGGCTGGGCAGGGTTCTCTTGACCTTACGGAGCAGCGAGCTCTGATGAAGGGCTGCCAGCTGGAGGACGAGAAAGAGGGTGGGGTGGAAGAGCAGCACAATATGGGGGAGACAAAGACAACAAAATATGAAAAGAAGGAGTAAAACCGAAGATGAAAGGGTGTGATTATCAGGATGACGGGAACGTTGTTTGGTAAGATCAAATGTAAAGAATATAATTGGACAAAAACATTGGGAGATCAAAAGGATCAAATTGGAAGCAGAAAATAAACAATGTGACGTTGTTCAGGGTTGTCGGAGCACATCGCATGCCAAGTGAGTCAAGAAGGAAAATTAATAAAAGTGGGGGTGTAAGAGGAATATTGATTTCAATGGTATGATAAATTAGAATGAGGGGAACAGATAGATATCACATGTACAGAAAGAAGGGCAACTCGAAGAATAAGTTCAGGGAAATAAATATAAGGAGACAAGGGAGACGTACAGACAAGATGACAAGGACAACAAGAAAGAAGAAGGGGGTTGCATTAGAAGACATAAGAAAAGACCCAACATTACTAGAATAAAGGCATCATTGTAAAAGAAAAACTTGAACGTTATAATGAGAGTAGAGCAGCTTTAAATTGGGTAATAACACGACGGAAATTGGAACGTTTCTGGCTAGACGATGTAACAATCCCAACAAGATATTTTTTTTTCTTAAACCTCTTTTCAGAATCAAATTGAAGCAACTTTTCCAATTGCCCAAACATGTTTTTTTTCTCTTTTTTTGCATTGTTCGTTGAGTTTATTCTCATAACCCAACATACAACTTTATTCTTGTACAATTACAGATGAATTCGGCGATCTGGAATGTTTGAATATTTCTTTTCAAACGGACACATTTGAGATCAATAACTCTTACTGACCACCATTTTTTTAGACGTTTACATTTCCATCCAATTAGTTAAAACGTAGCAGCTGTTAGACGTCCCTCTCTCAGTTTTACACTGACTGCTGTTAAACTGCTGATAAATTTTGCAAAATGCTGTCACAAACATTTCCTGTAATTTGTCCTCTGTCAGAGATTAGCTCCAGTTTCTTCGGTTTCTCCCAGCAACCCACCCGGCATGCTGATACAAAATCTTGGGTTGACCCCGATAAGAATTAGTGTGTTTTAAATGCGTATTATATGGTATCACCAGAATTAGATGACGACATTTGGATTCACCCCATGTCAAAACGCTCACACCACAAATCAAAACCATTTTAAATTAGACATATTTTATGTCTGGCCTAATCTGTTCCATTTGATTTGTGCTCGCCCTAAAGAAAGAAAGAAGCCCACAGCCCTGCCAAATGCATGATTCTTCATGGGATTGTCTGTAATCACTCACGTTGTCATTTTCACCACAAATTGGGTGACTTTACCTGGTTCTGGAGGGCTTGTTGTTGATAGAGGGACAGCCTAGCTTTCGTGTGCTCATCGGTAGTAGGACTAAGAGATTTGGGGTCTGACATAGATCTTTGGGCGGTCTTGATTGGTCTGGGCATTGAGGGATGTCGCTGGGGGGACTCTGCAGTGTATGCTTTCTGCTGAGGTGTGACATGGGCCTTGTTCAGCCTCTCACTTGATAGTGAATTCTCCAACAGGCGATGAGGTGACACTGGCGAGACAGGTGAGTAGAGGACCTGTGGGGATTTTGGGACTGTCTGCTGCTGCCGGATGATGCTCGAGATGGACTCATTGTGCAGGTGGTTGTTGGGCTGGTAGTTAATGTCGAGCGGGTCAGGGCGTCGGCGCTCAAACTTGGCTGCATTTGCTGTGATATGCTGCTGCTGCTGGCGCTGCTGTGTCGATATGTCAGTGGAACCAGATTGTTGAGTTCCGCTGCTGGTGGAGGAAGAATACGGGTTCACCGTGGTTGGTATGCTCAGCTGGGGAGCGACAACACCTTGTGACTGGGCTTCTGGGTCAGTCTGGCATGCTAGCGACTGTCCCTTTTTTGTCCGTTCAGGTCCTGAGATGTAGTGCACGATTTCTACTTTATTTGGATCTGGTAACGTCACATGGATTGCGGGCGAAACTCTTCCGAGGTGCTCCACTTCGGTTTGGCAGGACATTTCCCTGCTGGTTTGGATGGCTATGCTGGAGGATACCGTTTTGGAGGTGCTGGTTTTCGTGTCAGTAGGAGCCGTGCTTGTAGCAGTTCCGCTGCCAGTAGCGCTGGATTCGGAATGTCGTGAGTAACGAGAGCGTCGGCGGCGGACGGGCTGCCCTGTTTCAGCCTTGTCGTCATCATCATCTGTCTGAACTGAGCAGTCCACGCTGCGACCACGCCGCCTGGTTCGATGACGCATCATGTACCTTGTGATGGAGAGATGAAAGCAAAATTTTTATATTTTTTATAGAGATTTTTTTAAATAGAATTTAAAACAATTCTCTGGTGTCTGTGTCATGCTGTCATCAACAAACACTTTGCGTTTTTTTTGCCTCATGCAAATGAGCCAACATTTGCTACCATGACAACAAAACCGAATTCGCATTCTTATCCGTGAAGGAAAGGTAATCTTATTAAAGTGCATGATTTCTTTGTGGTGAGGTATTGTCTTTTCGTGTTCAATTAACCTGCTAAACATGTTTTTGGAATGGTGGAGGAAACCGTAGTACCCGGAGAAAACCCACGCAGGCACAGGGAGAACATGCAAACTCCAGACAGGAAGGTTGGAGCCGGAATCGAACCTTGCACCTCTCCACTGTGAGGCCAACACGCTAACCAGTCGACCACCACCGTGCTGCCTTTTCTCAAGAACCATCCATCCATCCATTTTCGACTCATATTCTCACAAGAGTCGCGAGCATGCTGGGGGGGACACCCTGAAGCGGTTGCCAGCCAGTCACAGGGCATACATTGTTTCAATGAACTCAAATTTAGTTTTGCCTATATTTGAAAATGTTGTATTTGGGCTTTTTAAATGCTTCAAGATAAAACACGTATGAGCATGGCTATAAATTATTCATAACATAGAGTATGCATTGACATGTTTTTGCTTTTCATGCAAATTAACATGCATAATGTTCCAATGAACACAAACACAAAATATTTTGAACACCCCCAATACATCACATGCAGAGACATTGATAAACATAGCTACAGTACATACCTCTCCTCCCCATCTTCATCATCTGTCTGCACACAACTGTCCACATTCCTGCGAGGGGAAACGTGGAAGACCACGCCTTCTCCGTCCAAGCTGTCTCTGCTCAGCCTGGTCATGGAGTTGTGCTTCCTCATGTTGCTCTGGTTCTCCACATGCTCCTCATGACTCCTCAGACACATCTCTGAGGAGGAGTTGGGGAGGGAGCGGGATCCGATTTGATGGTCAGTATAAGGGTGTAGAGGCTGTCCATTCATATCCATCTGCAATAGGAGATCAATCGTGGTCATTTGCCATCACTTGATGGAAGGCGGACAACGGCCACGGACTTTCCTCACGATGTCAGACCGGCTGGAGTGTAGTGTAGCGGTACAAATGAGCATTCTGCAGGTAACTCGGCAAAGTTGTCGTTGACCCTCACCTGCAAGTTCTGGACCGCGGCGGCTGTTTTCTGTCGCTTCTGTTCTACAAGCTGCTGCTGGAGCTGTTGCTGCAAGGACTGGATTTGGTCAAGCTGGGACTTCTGCTGGGCGAGCTGCTCCCTCTGGACAACAAGCTGTTTCTCCCGTTCTTGTTGCTGCTGTTGTAGAACCTAAATTGTCGAAACATAAAACAATCACATATGGGCTGGATACAAAAGTATTTATGAACGAGAGTCGGGTGATCATGAGGTTAAGGGGATCGGTTAATTGTAAAAGAATGAATTAAAACAATGTAAGAACTAGGGTATTATCAGGTTTCTTTCTGCTGCACATCTGGTTGAATAAATGATGATAAAAGACACATACGCACATAACAAGCCTCCTGAAACAATATGGCATGGGTTAGAATCGGCCTAAACTTGTATGTATTGCCCCAAAAGAAAAAAACAAGAATGCAAGTACAACACAAAGTACAGCATTTGCATGTAAGTGCGAGTGCCAGACATGTGATGCTTGTAAGAAAATATTGAATGGAGCTTCTTCATTGCATAAATGATAGGCTGTTGCAAAAACAAATAAATAAGGGCTTGGGATTTTGCTGCTACTGAAGGCCATGGGATGCAGAAACATTCTCTTGCTGATTTTTATGTCAAGCAAAGCTTCCACACCTGTTTAACAGAGTTAACTTGAAAGAGTTTCAACTGCTTGTTCTATTGAAAAAGAAGACAATTATTACGTTAGCTCGTCTGTTGTTAGTGGGAGGTAAGAACGGCAGTTATTTCGTGACAATGTAAGACATTCTATTTCACTTCTGTCTGCTTTTTTTTTTTAATGTTGAAAATGTTACTTTTCATCACATGGATCACTTAAAAAAAAGTCAACATCCATTTCAAATCATACACCTTATAAAGACATGCAGGACACTGTATGAGCAATGACACAATCAGAGAAGAATCGTCAACCATACCTAGAAACCATACAACATTTCAACAATGTAAGTTATGACAAAAAAATCAAAACAAAACAAAATACGAAAAATTTGATTGAAAAAACCCGAAGTGAAATCCTTCATTGTTGGTTTCCTGCATGCAGTTGCAAACTTATGCACCCACAAAAGTTTATTAGAAGTGATTTATGAGTTGCTAATAAATATTCCACTGGCATTTTTCCCTCCAGTAAAAATTAATCAGGTATCCATTAAAAAAAGGGACTTGATATTGTCACTGATGCATGCAAACATTGTTACAGTACTGTACGATGCAATGGAGTACTGTGACAGAGACTGCATGAACTTAAGAACACAAAAACACCTCCAATCAATGCATTTTACTTCCTGTTTTTCCTTATACCTGTTCCTTGATGTTCTGCAGCTCCTGTAATTCTCTCTGCACCAGAATATGCTCCTTCTCTCTGTGCAGCTTCAGCTCAATCCTTTCTCGCTCCAGCTCTTCCTGCAGGCGCAGTTGCCGGATTTTCTCCAGCTCTACGCGCTCCCTTTCCATCTGCAGAAGCTGCTCCTGCTGCCGATGCAGCCTTTCTGCCTCAGTTTCACCCTCTTTGTGTACAGCACCAGGTGGGGGGAAAGGAGGTAGAGTCCCCGCTACTGGTAAAATGGTCGAGGAATCTGGAGGGGCGACTGTTGTGTAACATTGACCTGTTGTTGCTTGTGCCTGTTGTTGTTGCTGTTGACTGTTCAAGTGCGCTTGGGACATGTTTATCGGTTGATGCTGTGCGTCAGCTGATGTGACCTCTACAGATGAAGTGGTTACAACAGCCCCTTTACCAAGGTAAACTGGTTCATCTTGGACTGTAGATGGTGGAACTGTCAAGGGAACGGATACCTGGGCACTCGTTGGTGCTAAGGTTGTTATTGCATCAGCAATGGTAGCAGAGATTGACGTTGTTTGGAGAAGACCCGGTCCAAGGTAACGGATTGGGGCCTGTCCAGACATTCTGGGAGTCATTGGTAATCTGGTGAGACTAGATAGGGGCACGGGTGTCATGTTGGGAGATGAGTAAGGCCTGTAAACACCTCTCAATAACGGTCGAAGAACAGAAGCGGGTTGAGTTGTGATAGGTAAGGTAGAAGCAATGGGTGTCTGAATGGTGGAGTAGATCATCCCATCTGAGGAGCGAATGGCTGCAGGGTACATGGCCCTAAGACTGGCCTGTCTGGCATTGATGAGGTTTGTAAGTGCTTGGTTGTGGGATAATGGCTTCCCATCTAATCCAAAAAGCAGATTTTGTCTCAAGCCAAGGCCAGCTGATAGTCTTGAAGTTGCGGGGCTGGTTCCTCTGCCCAAACTCGCAAACTGCATCAAGTCTGGGTTGCTTCCATAGCGATCCATCGAATTGAGTGCGGCACACATTCGGCTGATCTCTCTGGCAGTTGTGGCGCTGTACTGGGCTAAATTAGCTTCCTGGAAATTGGCAATGTCACGAGGAGAGTAGCCATAGTCGGAATTGATGTTCGACAAGGAATTGTATCGACGTATAGGCAATGTTTGGGCAGGGAGTTCTCCTCCATGACGCAAATCTGTGTATGAGCCATACTGCATCCCAATATATCCCCCATAGCCATGTTTTACAGCGTTTAGATCCATTGCAAGTTCTCCTTTGGCTTGAAGATGTGGTTCTAGTTTCGAATGGTAGGATTGTAGCCCTGCCTCAGCCAGGTTTGTATCAGACATTGAAGGTTGAAGCCTACCAGGATAAGGCAATGTGTAGGACTTGTGTCCTTCCATTGGATACTCACGATATTTTCCAGGATGTCTTTCTTGATCAGAATCATAGGACAGAGGTGGAGCGGAAGGAGGCCTTATGCCCTCTTTCTCTGAACCACCAACACAGCTTCCACCAAAGGGCAGTCTGTAAACAACATCGCAGCAAGCTGGTTGGTTGTCAGGTTTAATCTGGCCTCCTGACAGATCTGCAGCATCCTGTCCTTCCTCTACTTTTATAAGTTGGGTCACTGCCCTGACTTGCTCTTGCCCACCATCTATCTGTACTACCATACTATGTGGCGATTTCCCGCCTGTAATCATGCCAGGAGGACTGGGCTTTCCTTTCAGCTCAATGGGCCCGGTGCCATACATCTCGGGGTTGAGGACAGGTGATACAGCACTGACAACAGTGGAGGCAGTGCTGGTTTGGCTGACCAGCAAGTCTTTTTTCAGCAAGGGTGAGATCTGGCCAGAAAGGTTATACCGGGCTAAAACAGATGCCTGTTGCTGTTGTTGTTGTATATGGTGATGTTGCTGTAACTGCTGCTCGAGAAGCTCTTGCTGCATTTGCAACTTCTCTTGCTGTTTTTGTAGTTCTTTCTGTTGAATACTCAGGTCTTCAAGTTTTGCATCAATTTTTGGTATTGATGGGTCCATTGGAGGTGATAGAGGGGGTTTGTTCTGGGAAAAACACACAGCCGAACCCATACCCTGACCTAAATCTACTCTATTTTGATAGGGATCGCCATAGACCATTGGTTGTTTGGGCTGGGAAATAAACATGGAAGCTGCCACAGTTACACTCACAGTGGTTGGTGTGATGGTCTCCTGGGCATTTAGGTTCATAATCAGGGGTTGTACGATTGTCGACTGTCTGCTCCCCTCTGATCCACCGTGGTATTTTCTGCTTTCAGTGGCTAGAGAGGTGAGATCCATTCCTTGATCAGTCATGATGATTGGGGTAGGTTTGGTGACTGTTCTGAGGTCCACAACACTTCCACCTTGTATCATATGGCCCTGCTCAACCCTAGAAGTGCCTGGAACTGTAGATATGCGGCACAGGGAGATATTATCCATAGAAATGGAACCTCGTGTGTAAATACTGGCCGTGGTAACCATACTTGTTCCAACATTTACCTTTTCGATTCTTTGTGTTCTGTAGAAGCTGCGTGTCGGTGAATGTTGGTAAGGAGGCGTATCTGGAGGGCTACCACACGGTGAATAAGAATCGAATGTCGATTGACGGCTAAATCGTGTGGGTGAAGACAGAGGCGATGTCGCCGTGTTGACAGTCATTGGACGAGCTGGACTTGCAGGTGGAGAGTATGGCACATCCTGGGATGACTGCTGCCGGTAGAGCCGTGGGGAGACCGATCTATGTGAAGTTTGGGTTCCCTGAGCCATCACTGGTGAAGTAGGCCCAGAACCTCCCGAGTCCATTTGTAGTGCTGAATTGAAAGTCTGTGTAGAGAACTCAGCTGTTGCTCTCCTGGAAGGGGAGTGCGTAGGACTTTGCGGTGGTGGGGATGGAGAAAGGGGAGGGCTGGTGCTCCTGTAATAAGTTGTATACTTTGGAGAGCGTGGCTCATTGATTCGCTCGTTGACAGCTGCTGGGCTATCTCGAAGCGCTACACCTCGAGTGTCCCCTACTCTTCTGGTGATGATCTCTCTTTGACTATAGGCTTGGGTAATCTCTGCAATCTTGCTGCACACACTTGAGACTGTCGCTGAAGATGTGGCAGGACTTGCGTGTCTGCTATAAATAGAAGACTGGGTGGATGTTATAGTGTTGCTTGTACTTGTCTGAGAAATTGTTACAGCATCTCTAGCATAAACTCCATAAGCTGCTATTGTAGTAGCAGCTACTGTTGGGGTTATTCCATTTTTCCCCGCTTGGTTTTTTAATCTGTCTTTGTGTCTGTCCTTTGAAGCAAAGTGTTGAGTGACTCGGACATCAGGGATGCGTCCTCCCGTTTCAGCAAATGAGACAGGTGCGGAGATCTGGGTGGGGCTGGTTCCTGGAGTTAAAAGGGCATTGCTTTGCTCCAGTAGTTTTGCAAAGGCGGAACCTGTGTCGAGAAATTGCTTGTCTGGGTAGGAGCTCTCAATTTCTACTTGCTCATCAGTGGCCTGCTGCATCTTTGTGATGTTCTGAGATGTTTGTCGAATCTCCTCATAAATGTCAGCTTCCATCTCAACTGCGTCATTGTCATATCCCGTTTGATCTTGTTCATAGTCATACTCGTCATCATAACCTTGTCCGTTAATGTCTTCTTCGTAGTACTGACCATGTCTCACTGGAGAGGGCTGTTGCTGTTTCTGTTGCTTTTGAAGCAGCTCTGCCTTCCTCATCATCTCTTCATATACCTCCTCAGCACTCTTCAATGGCTTGGAAGTGCTCGATGGCGCTATTGTGGTCGTGATCGATGATTTTTCAATTGGTGAGTAAAGGGACATAAAGGTAGGAAGGTTGTACTCACTGCCTGACTTGTAAAGTTTGGACTCATAGCCCTCGGCTTCCGAATCCAGACTCTGAGGGGAGTATTCAGAGGCAGAGGAACGATGGAGTTCTTCCATTTCGGCAGCTTGTCTCAATTCCTCAGTCGGCGAAGCATCTTCAATGGGTGAAAGATTGCTGGGCGGTGTCTTGGATCTTTCTCGACGTCGTTGAGCCCTCAGCTCCTCTTTATCGCGCTTAGTCTTGCGCGCCGTGCTTCTGATTCTTTGTTGTTCAACTTCTCTCATCTTCTCCTGCTCTCTCAGGAGTTCCTCTTCTTCTCTCAATTCATCTTCTTCTGAAGAGTCTTCAATTGTAGGAAGGAGAGGGCCATGAGAACGATGCCGCGCTTTTCTCTGTTGCTTAGCCTCTTCCAACCTTTGTCGCCTGCTGGGACTACTGTCACTGTCCTCTTCCATTGACGAGATGGACGTAGGAGACTGGCCTGAGCCGTAAGAGGATGCGGAAGTTGGCGGAAGAGTGGAAGAGTAGTCACCCCGAGAGCGCTCTTCGGGAGAGCCGGTCAGACTTTCCATCTCCAGTTCGGGTTCTCGATCAAGGCTCAAGTCATTTTCGTGACTGAGCTCAATGTCTCTGCTGTAGCTGTTGGTGTTATTGAGTTCGATTGTTTTAAAGCGCCTCAGACCACCTTGTGACGCCATCAGATCTTCCTCACCCTCCTCCACTGAGCTTTTGTAAACATCAGTGGAGCTTTTTGTTTCCTCCTCAAAACTGCTAGAGTGGTGCTGTAGGCGGCGTTTCTCTTTTGCCGTGTCGGGTATGATGTGCTTATGGTGGCTTTTCTTTCGCTCATAGCCGTAGCCTTCATCTTCCTCATCTTCATCTTCCTCCATTTCTTCCTCCTCATCATTTCCTTCATCAGCGCTCATCTCCATGATCTGTCTCCTCATGAACTCCTCATCGGTCATCTCTGTGGGCTCACCGTCCTTGTCCTTCTTCTTCTTTTCCTTCTTCTCTTCCTTCCCTTCTTTCCGTTTACTCTCCCAGTCTCCTCCATCTTCTTCTTCCTCCATTATGTCTTCAAGTTCCTCATCCGAGTCGTATGCATCCGGTGGGATTGACAAAGAGCGCGGGCGCTGCTTCCCTCTGTCATCCAAGTCTCTATCACTTAGCCTCCTTCCTCTTCTGTCCGCTTTGTCTTCGGAAAGGCTCTTCTCCAGCAAAGGCCTCACAGAGCTTTCCAGTTTGGTAATTTCTGAAGGGCTTGGTGGAGAGCCCCGCCCGCTGATGCCCCTCTCACTGAGTTTCATCTCCTCCTCTTGAATTAGTCCTGTGATTTCGCTGTGGGAGCTGGAGATGCCGTCAGAGGAGTAACCGGTATCACTGAGGCTCTGTGGGCTGCGTGACAAGTCATGCGTGCTGTTTTTTGTTTCCTAAAGGGAGAGACAAAAAAGAAGCCTTTAAGGTCTCAAGGGGCTACACTTTGCATTCAGTATATGTCACCGTCCATCCATTTTCTGAACCTCTTATCCTCACTGGGGTCGTGATATTCACAAATCTAATTGGATACAACTCATCTATTATATACTGTTAATAATTCATTTTGGTAAAGAGGTTGTAACATTGTTCAATTTAAAATACAAATAATGAATGAATATTATTCACATAAACTTTTCTGCATCACAAGACCAAGATTTATTGCCACTTAATGGCAAGTTCTTAACTATTTTATGGTCTCAAAAATAGCTCAAATAGCTAGAAAAGCAGATGTGTCAAATCCATGTCCAAGAAGTCAAAGCCCTGCTCCAGTTTGGCGTTAGCCACAGGTGCTTCTACTCAACCAGCAGGTAAACGAGCTCCCCAACCTTCTGGTTGAGTAGAAGCACCTTTGGTTAAAGCCAAACTGTGGCAGGGTTTTTACTTTCTGGACCTGGATTCAAAACCTCTCTTAAGAAGTGGATTGCCAGGGTCAGTCAGCATCCTTTTGTAACCCGGACTATGACATAAGGCAATGGGAAGTACACATAATCAATTGAAAGATCGTAGGTTCATTCAGAAGTTAAAAAATGTATGTATACATAAACATAATCTATGTTGTTTAAGAGAGTGGCGTCGTTAAAAGTGTGTTAAACAGAACCGACTATTGCCGTGGCCCTAGCGAATTAGGGCACAGAATACTAATTAGGTGTCAGCGAATGAGAGGTACCGTTTTTCACCTCCGTGACGTCAAGAGCTTGCAGCGCCAGTCAGCATCCTTTCATCTCCAAAAGCATATATTTTAAGGTTCGCCCTGCATAAATATGATAAGATAAGAAACCTTTATTTGTCTCACGATGGAGAAATTCCCAACATGAATAAATACATGAAGAAAATGTGATGCTTTTGAGGCATTAAAATTGCATTGTTGAAGACGGCGAGACATTTTCAATGATTTCGATTGACTAAGAAACGTATCAGACCCACCTGTGGACTGACCAATCGTATAGATTTGTGGAAAACTATTAAATTCACCACATTTGGAAAAACAAGATTTCTGCCCAATGGCGACAATGTTTTGGAACATGAGCTACAAAATAAAGGAGCAATAAATTGTCAAGTGTCAATAAAAAAATCAGGATTTCTTAATGAGACCTATGGAGGTGGGCCACTGTTGAATTCTTCTGAACTGATCTAAATTTCATAATATTGTAGGTGAGCAAGAAAAATAAAGTAAAATTTACTTCATTCAATTCAACAATTTTTTTTTTAATCAATTCAACAAAATTCACAAGTGGTTTATGATTAACATGCCATATCAAAGACGTCAAGCAGCCGCTAATCTGGTGTAATGAAATTTAAAATTAGTGAAACAATGCAAAATACAGAAAATCTTAGCAAAAATCTGAAAATCTAATAACGATTACCGGTACATGGTTTGAATTCCACAAGTGTGTATAATGAATCACGTCTGTTTCTTTTAGAATGTGCCATCGCATGATAGTATTATACGACTCTCATATTCTTTGAAAGCATTCAATGGACACCGTCACCGTACAATGTTTCCAGAAAATCCAAAAGTCTAGAAAAGTCAATTCACGGAGGAAAAAAAGACCAGGTTTTGAAATTTCTGACCACAGAAATGTCATACAGCAGATGCGCGCTAGTAGTCCTTCCACCTATTTATTGTTAATTGTGTTGAAATAACTCATGAACAGTGCATAAGAGAAGCTTTCACTTGACGTAACATTAATGTGCAAGTTCCTTCCATTTCAAAAGCTCTCAAAGTGGCATAGTAGGAGCCAAGTAAGAGAAGCAACGCTCAGTACCCATCCAAAAGAGAATCAATGTCTGCCTTACTGTGTTTGGCAGCGTCAGCATTCAGGCAGAAGGAAATCAATAGCTTGCTACATAAACAGCTAGAGACCCTCAATTTTGGAGGACGAAGTAACTGTTCCAAACTTCAATTCACACAAAGAAAAATGCTATCAAGAATTTACATCTTATTTATTTATTTCGAGAGTTATAAGTATTCATGGGGGCTGTTTATGCAGTTTTCAAATGAAAGCTATTGTATTCCTTGACTGTCATCATTACATCGGTGACAGGCCAAAGTTGTGTTGTTGGTGCAGGTAATGGGCTATATTTTCGTGGATTGGCACCCGCGTGCTCGGTGTAAAAATGGGCATAATTTATTTTTTCATGCTGGCTCAAGTCTAGTCCATCGTGATTGGGAATTCTGACGCGTGGAGTTGCCTCGCCCCCGACTCATCCAACAATTTGGTAACAGAAAGTACACCGCGACCAGCGTAAAAACATGGGCACTGGCATTTTCATGGCGCGGCAATGGTCTAGTTCAGCGTGTTTGTGAATTCGGTAGACACGCTATGCCTGGTTACAAAAAGTAGAATAGATTTTAGACTCACAAAAGCGGGTCTAACCTGAGGCGCAAGTGGTGCAATGCGATTTGGGTCTCTTTGATCGAAGCACAGTTACACTAATTCGGTGGTGGATTTTGTTTGGAAACATGTCACTAAGATGGTACATTCCCTCTGAAGCATTGTAGAAATCAATTCATTTGATGAATTATGGCCATTATCATCTTAAACAAACCCAGACATATGATCGGGGGTGGATAACTATCTCCAAGCGCCCACGTCAGAGGCATGGCCGACTGCGTCATCTGCAAGAGGAGAGCCTTTAGTTAACCTGCCAATGTTATGCATGGACCCCAGAGATTCAATTTCTATTCCCGCAATGTCAAGCACTACCTGCCAGGGCGTACTGCACTCGGGATGCCCTGATATTGATACAAATATGGAATACCGTGATAATTGGCTGGGAAAAGACTACATTCATCTCACAATGGCGCACAAAGGTGCAAACAGCGCGTTACGTCCAACTCTACCTGTGCAAAGTCCAGAAAAATACCGAAACAAAGAAAACTCCACCCATTCACACAGACTGCGCTTTGGACTCGACTTTCACCCGGCACGAAAATAGTGCCTATTGTCTTCGATAGCATACGCAGTGTAAATTGACTGCATTGCTACTGCAATTGACCTGTTGAGATGCATTACTCATCCATCCATCCATCCATCAATCCATCTTCCGATCCGCTTTATCTTCACGAGGGTCGCGGGGTGTGCTGGAGCCTATCCCAGCTGTCTTTTGGGAGTAGGTGTGAGACACCCTGAACCGGTTGCCAGCCAATCATAGGGCACACATCGATGAACAACCATCTACAAAGGAAGGCCAGAGCCGGGATCGAACCCACGACCTCTGCACTGTGAGGTCGACGCGCTAACCACTGGCCCACCGGGCCACCATGCATTACTCATATATGCCAAATTTCATATCAATGCTGAAAGGAGAAGTGCTACGTGGATCTTGTTGGTCTGGTATATAGGAATACATACAGTGTACTCTCATCAGGTCCATTTAAACAGGGATCGTCACGTATGAATGCGTAACCTTAACCCTTACCGGACCCTTAAAGAGACTTCTGGAGTCCTTCCTACTCGGCCTGAAGTCATCTCTTCAAATTGATTCAAAGTCACAAAGAAACACAATGCAGTTTTGAAGATGTCATTTTGGATTGGGTAGATGTCAGGAAATAAGAATGAGGAAGGGCTACGCACGTGGGTAAAATGTTTAAGTGCACGAATAGCGCTGTTACTTACGTCGTAATGCCTTGACTTCTTAATTTCCTTGATTGGTGTGATTGGATCTCCTTTCTTGAATGTGGTTTTGCTCTCTTTGGCAGTTTGGCTTTCAGGCTCCATCTTCAGCTTTTCATCTGTGGTTTTCGTCTTCTTCTGGGTCTCGACTGTTGGTCCAGTTGACGTCACTGCTACGGTGTTCTTGGTGTCTGTCGGCAGCTTGGCAGCATTCGGCCCAAACTGTTCGCTATCTCCAGTTCCCGACTGTGGTTTTGGTGTCTGGGGTTGGGCTGGCTTGGACTCTTGCTGAATGGCGGCTTTGTGGAGAGGACTTTGTTGACCCGCTGGGGCCTGGTGGCGTGGTGACCCAGTGAGCTGATGTTTTGGGGACGGGTGAGGAACAGCGAGAGGAGGCTCATCGAGACCTCCCCCGGACATCAACCGCTGGGTTTGGCAGTTGAGACACAGCCACTCTTTTTTCTGAAAGACAGCACAAATCATGACACTTGCAGTAAACAACATCTGAAATGTGAAATGGGGAAATATGTCACAGTCATAGCGTCTATTCATTTTTTTTCCTGCTTTATGTGTTCTTAGAAATTTGGGCAGCCTGCTATGAAATATTTGGGATCAGAAAAGTAATTTTGTGGGACATGTTCGACATTCCTCAGAGTTCGCGCAGGTCTCCTTCGATGAGGGATGGGTTGGATACAGTGACACATTTGTTTGTTTGTGTGCTGTTGCCTGAAAGCAGCAGTCTTTTTCAACATTATTTATTGAGTTAAATTTGGGATTCTCGGACCTTCATTCACTTTATGAATCATGATCTCATGCAACATAAGCAAGAAGATGGTCCAAATTCGAAATGCTGTAAGACCTTTTTTTGTTTCTCATTTGACTGTAGCGGTTCCACCCTAATTGATATTTGTCGGTGACGTCACTCAACATTGTTGTGTTGGTTTCGATTCCATCTCAAAATCTTTATTATATTTGCTTTGTTCGTTATGAGTTCATTTCTATGCTAAGTTCATTAGAACCCAGCAAGCTATTTCCTTCGTCTTTCACACTTGTGAGCATGACAACTCCTTTTCATTCCATTCTCTCCTTTCTCCCTTCGAGCCCTCTCACACTCTCCGCTCTCCTTTTTTTTCTTTTGACAATGGGAGAGCTATTTTTACCCAGAATTGGATTGTTCTGCTTGAGCATACATCTCCCTCGTCCTCGCCGCTGCTTTAGGCTGCACTCTCCCCTGCACTGTCCACTCACATTTACACGCACGCACACACGTGCACACGTGTGCATTTCTCATCAATGCAAAATGGAGGAAGGCCGTCGAGCTGAATGCTGACCAAGAAAGCGAGTGATGACGAGCAGAGGGAAGCTGGGGAGGAGAAAGGAGAAAGGATGGGAGTCGTGGAGGAAGCCAAAGGGTGCAATGAGAGTCGAGTGAGTGACAGCACGCGTTTATGTGAGGCACGCGCACACACACACAAGAACACACACACACACACACACACACACACACACACACACACACACACACACACACACACACACACACACACAAAAGGATGTGCCACCCCGCTGAGGCTGAAGCAAGCGGAGGAAGTAACTAGAGCTGCAGCTAAAGTGGGCATCAGGGCGCCGCTGATTATTACGGTGCCAAAGGTGCTTCAAGACAGTTTGAACTCATAATAAGGGTGTCAAGGCGTGTGTGCATTTGTGTGCGTGGCTATGGAGTGTACTTTTCAGGGCTGACTTGACAAGCACGGAGAACGTCTGCATGGTCTGCAACCATATGTTGTTGCTTCACTGCAACCCCTTCCCCTGTCTCGTTTATCCCGCTGTATGTGGTTTTAATGCTAAAGCGCTACTTAAGGAAAACCATATGAGGCTTTTATGACTATACTCATCAGTCACAATAGCCGTTATACCTCCATATGCTCACACAGCAGCGAGAAATAACAAAAATGTATGACCTACACCCCTTCAAACTACACCTGCAAATAATAACGTTATAACCTTATGAACCCCTGACATGGTTCATCAAAAACTGAACATATAAGGCAAAATTATCATGAAGTCACGCAGGTGCCCCAAACGTTATGGCTGTTAAATCATCATGCCTGCATTATTTTTTTGACCAAATTTAAACTGATAATAACTCATTAAGTCACTTTTTCCTAATGCACTGCTCAGAATTGGGAGGCTGTAGGTTTTAACCTTCTTGTGGTGGAGGTAAAAAAAAAAAAAAAAAGTGGCAGGTGCTCAGGCACAAAAGTCATGGCACAGAAAAAGATCACAGGAGTGCGAGTGAAATGTATCGTATGGGGAGTCCGACTTTAATATTAGCACTGAGGCGGAGGGGGAAAGCCTTCCTGACTACAATTTAAGCTCTTGGGGAAATCAAGAGCACAAGCCTGTGTGCTCAGGCGATAAAAATCAGGCCATACATCTGTTAACTATACACAATGAAGAATATTAACTGTGAGCATAGAAGCTCTTTGATGCTTTTCTGGGGTGAAGGGCTCAACAAATGCATTTGACTCGGCAATAGCGCTTTTCTTGATGTGGTTTCATTTTATAAATTGTCGATATCAGTGGTGAGCCTTCAAGGATCTCAAAGTCACACTCATTTCAATCTATTAGGAAGTGTGTGCTAATGTGTGTACGCGCATGCACACATGCATGTGTTCATTGTTTCAGTCATTGTAAATACAGATTAGAGTCCAAAATAATCCGATATTCAGGCAATGAAACATGAAGTGTAAATCCTCAAAATCTTGAATAATGTCCTGTCCTATCCACTAAAAATAGAACAACTTCATCAGATTTGTCGTAGCCGTTCTCCTGTGTTAAAATCACTCCAGTTTTATTCTATCCATCCACGGGGCTAACCCCAAATGAGCTCTGTAGGGACGGCAACAGAAAAAAAAAAAGTTGACCAAATTGAAGTTCTTGCACTGCCGTATCTACCCTGCTGAGTATTAAGAGTATTATCCTTGGTGTAAGGCTGAGAGAGGCGGCAGCCTTTGAAGTGCTGAAGTGTGGACTTTGAAGAGCAGGAAGCATTACTGTTGCTACTCCCCTTTGAGGCTGGGAAGTGATCAAACAGACGAGAGGAAAGAGGCTGAAAAATGAAGTTCCGGTGATGGCTGAAATCAGTGACGATGAAACTCTTTCTCTTGTCTAATATAGGGCGAATTTAAAATTGTGAATTTTGCACGGTATGATGGCTTCCCATGAAGATCCCATTAATAGTTGAAAAGAAAAACAGTGTATACAAACTACAATGCTCCACTTATTTCACAAATATTTTTGTGGATAGCTGGTCCAAGTGCCTCGAAGAAGCTGTAAAATCTCAGCCAAAGAGGTGCATCCAGGAATTTATTTACTCTGGACGGTAAGTCACGAGTCTGTCCAAGTCGCCCCCTCTCAAAACAAAGAAAATATGATTGTCATGATCCCGTTTCTGTTTGTCTCCAGTAGGTGGCAGAGGAGGGCCTCGTTAGCAAGCACTGCCATGCCGACAACTGTCAGATTATTAAACCTTGCTCACGACTCTGTTTCTAAGTGCTTCGATATTCTAGACGCTCTCAATTTTTGCCACGTAGTTCATTGTGTTTCTATTGTATTTTTTTCATTCCTGTGCCGTCTCGGTTTTGTATTCTCCTTTTTTTTATTTGCTTGTCCTTTGAGTTGACATGGAATTTACATTTTCTCAACCTTGCCTGAGCAAGCGCTTTTGGTTTGTTCCGCATTTTGCTGGTTCTTTGTTTCCGGCGTCCTGAGTTGCACTTTGCGTTGCTTTTGTAAATAAACGTATTTTTGTCATACGCTCTTATCCCTGTCTATGTCTGTGGGATCCTCTCCCGATAGAGATTGTTCAGGAATGTAACGATGATTCGCACATTAGCACTCTACGGAGCGATATTGACAGTTTTCTTATTTCACTGTTAGTATGCAATATAGCAAACAACTATAAATACCAGAAGCTTTGTCTTCAACACAGAACTGCACAGTACATTAAAATTCATTCAGTACCAGCCAATTCTAGACCAAGTCTGAAAAGACGTCTTTGGGAGTGAATGAGTTTAAAGAAACACGGAAAAGAAAAATAACCCATATGTATGTGCAACACGTTTTACTATAACATGATTTCGTATAGTATGCAGTATATATTTTTCCGTCTGTGCTTAATTGGTCCCATTCTATTTTCCTGGGCTGCGTGACCATAGCATATGCTCCTCCAATACTTGCTGATGAGAAGCTTGCTAGTTGAAAAAAAGGAAGAAGTTCACATAGCAGCCGCATAGGGACTGTAAAAGAGAATGAAACTGCGGAGGTCAGACGTCGGGGGTTAATTTGAGGTGGATGGTGAACGGAGAAAACTGGGCCAGGAGTGCGAAGGAAGCGAGAACAGAGAAGACACTATCAAAGATTAGTGAATTAGTGGAGAGACAAGATGTGAAAGGGAACAGTGGGGAGCAGAAGAAAGAGGGGCGAGAGGAACAAAAATGAGCAGTGTATTAGTTCTGCTTCAGGAAACGGGCACTTCCTGTTGAGAAGTGGGTGTGTGTGTGTGTGTGTGTGTGTGTCCGTATGTGTCTGTGTAGGGAAATCCTGCACTCTTTTGCTTTCTCTCTCTCTCTCTTTTCTGTAAGTAGACCGAGCATGCGTGTGTGTTCGAGCGTGCGTGTGTGTGTGTGTGTGTGTGTGTGTGTGTGTGTGTGTGTGTGTGTGTGTGTGTGTGTGTGTGTGTGTGTGTGTACGTGCTTGTATGTGTATATTAACCCTGACACCCAGCTCAGTGTGCTGATTCAGCCTCCGCACATGTGACCACTTTCTTTTTGCAACCACTGCAACCAAACGACATCTCGGGTCATTCTGCATTCACTATTCACTGGTTTCATTTGCTTGTTTAAGGAAGTTTGGCGATATCCAGATGTTCCAGAAATGGACAACAGTTCTTTTTGTGTGACTCAAACTATGGTATCATATCGTATCCTATCATACAATAGTATGAAAGCACATGAACTGCTCAAATAATCCAAACCGTTCTACGGCATTCGGTGCATTTTCGACAAAATCGCATGAAACGTTCATGAAAACACACTGTCATAGTATACAAAGTGTAATCATAGATTTGTTTTGATATTTATTTATTTATTTATTTGTATTAATCGACGAGTATGCACTACTCTCAGATATGTACACAAGTACAGTCATACCTCGGTTTTCGACCGTAATCTGTTCCAGAAGGCTGTTGGAAAAGTGATTTGTTCGAAATTCCGAACTATTTTATTAGCCCATGATAAGGGGCTAGTACACTATGCAGAAATAACAGTCAGATTTGCGAAAAACACAACAAACACGTCTGCTCACAACGAACGCTCCACAAGGAAGCGTCACTTCCTCGTGTAAGAAAGCCGAGAGGAGTCGAGTGGCATATTCGGGTTTGCTCGAAAACCAGTTTTTGG